AACGACATTGAGATGCCCGGACGGTTTTGAAGGTGCTAACTGCCAAACTGGTAAATTATTATTATTATTGTTGTTGTTGTTGATGATATTGTTGTTGTTGATAATGATATTGTTGTTGTTGTTGTCTTTGTTGTGTTGTTGATGTTGTTGTTGTGCTGTTGTTAAGGCATTGTTGACGCTTTTGTTATTTGTTTATGTTTGAGTTGTCGTTGTTACGTCAGCGTTGTTGTGTTGTAAGCAGCAGTGGCTACAACGACAAGAGCAACGACAGCAACAGCAGCAACTACAAATTTCAACAACATAAATAACATCAATTGTAATAAAGAACATCTATAAACAACATCACCCAACTAACAAGCAGATATAAACACCAGTAAACCATCACAGCATCCAATAGGAATAGACCCTAGATGCCGAATGAGTTATGATTTGTTTAGAAAAAAAACAACACAAAAAATAACAAAACAACAACAATAATAGTAATAACAACAATAACGTATTTAAAAATAACAAACAAAACACATCCTGCAAAGAAAATTAATGGTAGTACATTTTTTCACCCATTTGCAAAACGTCACTTGTATGTCAAGTCACAAGGTTCTGCTTCATTTGTCTGTGTGTGTGTTTGTTTGTGTATGTATGTATGTGTTGTACATATGTGTGTATGCTTTGTTGGGTATGTATGAGAAAGAGAGAGAAAGAGAGAAAGAAAGAGAGTAAGTTTTAAAAACACGTAAAACATTAACATTTAAATTGCTGTTAAACTCAAAGACGAACAATTTTAGATTTGTGAATAATATTTTTTGTCTGTTGGTTTTGAGTTTGTTTTCATAAAAGTGCGAAAATGTGTGAACATGATGTGTGTGTGTGTGTTTCTGTATGTATGTGTGTGTGCGTGTGTTTATCTGTATATGTGCGTATGTCTGTGTGTCAGTCTGAACACGTGTAAAGAAGATGATGATGACGTTGATAAAATGTTGACGGAAGAATTTTTCAAATTTAAAAATTTAACTCAAATGTTATGAATATAATAGCTTGCTAAGAAAGAAAACGAGAGAGAGGATGGTAAAAAAAAGAATGAGAGAGAGAGAGAGAGAGGGAGGGAGGACGAGAGAGAGGATGGTAAAAAAAAGGGAGACGTTTTACAAGACTTCGGTCTTTGATGAGAACATTCAAATAATTTATTTTTTCATTGTTAGACTTTTGCTTACCATAATCTGTTATTACTATCTTTCATTAATGGTTTATTATTATTATTATTTATTATTATTATTATTATGGAAAAAAATTATGAACAAAATAAGAACAATGAAAGAGCATCATCAATTGTTTTGTTTGCAATCATAACCTGCTTACATACGTACCTAGTACTTAAATCTTTTGGGTAAACTTTTTTATTATTGTTTTTGTGGTTTAACATTACAAATATTATTATTATTATTGTTGTTATTACTTTTGATTTATTATTCATCTTTTGCTGTCTTTGTTAATATTTTTTTCCATTTTTGTCAGTACATTTATGATTATTATTACTATTATCATTACTACTACTACTACTAATACTACTACTACTACTACTATTACTACTACTAATACTATTACTACTACTACTACTATTACTACTACTACTACTACTACTTTCTCCGTGGCTGCAGCGGAGGTTTGGAATAAACTGCCCGATGATGTCGTTAATAGTATGGATAAAAGAGACATGTTCCGAAAACGACTTAAACATCACTTTTTTGACCGGCAGCTTCTCGAACAGCGCCTCTGAGTTATACATAGCTGCTGCTACTACTGCTGTTGCTGCTGCTGCATCTGCTGCAACTATAAAAGCTGCTATTACTACAACTACAACTACTATTTATAATAAAACCCCAATAACAATAATAATATAATAATGAACCATAATATAAAATTAATAGTATCAATTATACATTCATATATGTAATCCATAAAAAATTGCCTTTAAAAGCATCTTTGAAAAACATTCAAAGGACATACAGAAATACACACCACACACACGCACACACACATACCAAAACATGCACGTATACACACATACATACAAACATATATACATATATGTGTACACACACTTAGATACTTTTTTCATAATATTTGATGTTTAAATGTTATTTCATGTTACTGATTTATGTACGTTAAGCTCATTCCATTCAGTCATTAATGCTGGACGATGACATCTCGAAACTTTACAAGTTGCCAATGTTTTTATTCATTCGTTTCATTTCTAATTCATTCATTCACACATACATTCATTCATTTATTTGTTCATTTATTCATTTTATTCATTCTCTCGTTCTTTCGTTCGTTCGTTCGTTCATCCAATCGTTCGTTTACTCGTTCGTTCTATGCCCATCCCATAGTCATAATTCACACCAGCCACTTGTCGGCGATGAGTGAAATATAATAATTGTATGATTATAACGCGAAGTTAGTCGATAATTCCATATCTGTTTGTATATATGTGTGTTTGTGTGTTTGTCTGTGTGTGTCTGTATGTATGTGTGTGTGTGTGTGTGTGTGTGCGTGTAAGTATCTGTGTGTCGATGTATTATTTTGTATTGTTGAGTTTCATTGCGTGTAATTATTTATTAAAGTAGTTAATTCGATTTTTAATTATTGCCATATTAAATCCGCTGTTTGCTCAATTATTTTTTTCTTCATATTCTTGGTGCAATTTGGATTTGGCATTTTAAACTAAAATATAATATAATTATTATATTATATAATAATTATATATCATAAGTTAGTATTAAGGCTTCGAATTGGTAAGGATGTTATCATTCTTTTTTGGATGTTTATTAGAGGTTTAGTGATATCTATTAGGACAGATTCTGCCATTTTTAGATGTATTGATATTAATATACACGCATGCACATTATATGTGTATTAGAAATGCAATTATTGATGAAAATCACAGTATGTACCGCGTTAGTTAACTTTCTATTATATATATTTATATATATTTTAAAAATATTTACATGTGTATTAAATTTTATATTCATTTTTATAACTAATACTGCATGCATTTGTTATATAAACTGTTTGTTATTTCGATTATTATTATTATTTATTATTATTATTAGTAGTAGTATTATTAATTTAATACGAAATATTATATCTCCATGTGGGTTCATATTAGTCTGCCATTGATTGATTCCCATGCACTTGACATGATATGATTACCCTTGCATTTTTCATTCTAAATTAAAATCTATTTATTATTATTATTATTATTATTAATCGTAAATTTCATTAAAACTCAATTTTTATTAAACTTCATTTCTTATTTCTTATTATTTTGAATTGTATTTTGTCGATTGAATAAATAAATATGTTCATTATTATTTTTGTTGTTATTGTTGTTGTTATTGTTGTTATCGTTATTATGAGAGTGAAGAGTTGAAACAGTGCGGAAACTCTAGAGGTCCAATCTCTGACGTTAAGGTCAGAGATTGGCCTCAAATCACCGGCGACAGTTAATGCCAAAAGTTCGGAGGGTGCCCCAAAAAATAATTGATTTGAATCTGGCCTGGTGCTAATGGTCTGACATGCATAAGAGGACAGATGAATGTTGTGTGTTTGGAATGATGAAACAAGTTTTGGCCTAGGTTGGCTGTAGGTAACATGCCCGTTCTAACAGTAGTAATGGGTTGTGGATTCAAATACCTGGAAAAAATCTTGTAATTGTTGTTGTTATTATTATTGTTGTTGTTATTATTATTGTTGTTGTTATTATTGTTGTTGTTTTTATTATTGTTGTTGTTATTGTTGTTGTTATTATTATTCTTATTATTTTTATCATCCTTATTATGTTTCCATTATTATTTTTCAGCTAAAACCGACCAAACGCCAACCACCACAGTCGGCAAAAGAAATAAATTTCTTAGTAGCATCATCAACAACGACAACGACAACAATAATAATAATAATAATAACAACAACAACAACAGCAACGAGAAACCGCCGATAAATAGAATAACAACCATAGCTAACACGATCAACCAGGCAGCTGGTTTAACCTTGCTAGTGGATAAATTCAACAACAGCAATGACAACAATAAAAACAACAACAATAACAATAATAATAATAAAGATGATGCTGATGCTGATGAATTCGTTCAGAACGACGGAACACCGATCACAATGAATCTACACTACACGAAGTTTAACAACGACAACAACAACAAAAACAACAACAACAATAATAATAATAATAATTCAAACAACAACAACAACGTAAAATACGCCACAAGTTCACAGCGTTATTATACCAGCCGTCAAAGTAACAACTACAGCAACAACATCATCAACAACATCAACAACAACAACAACGTAATCAGTGATGGCGTCAACAACTACAATAACAACATAAAATACAACAAATACAAAAGTTCAAGCAACAACCATATCAACGCCAACATTAATGACAACAACAACAAAAATGTTAGAAGTACCAGAAAGATCATAAACGATGTAATCATTACAGACAGTGACGACAATAACAACAACAAATTCAACAACAAATTCAACAACAACAAATTCAACAACAACAATAACATCCGCAACAAGCCATCATGCACCACGTTTAACTGTCAACATAAATGCATAACAATTCACGGGAAGCCAAAATGCATCTGCAGAAGAGGTTACAAAGCCAACAAAACGAACGACAAACTCTGCGAAGGTGTGTGCCATCTTTATTTTGTGTTGTTTTTAGTTGATGTAACACAACAAACACGCCAACAACAACAACAACACTACTACCAACAACAACAAATCAACAACAACAAACACACCACCAACAACAAACACACTAACAACAACAAACCCACCAGCAACAACAAACACACCAACAACAACAAACAAACCAACAACAACAAACACACCAACAACAACAAACACACCACCAACAACAAACATACGAACAACGACAAACAAACCAACAAAAACGACAATCCTCCAACTACTAACCAGACATAGACGAATGCCAGGAAAACAGAAGTGGATGCAGTCAGGCTTGTTTGAACAAGAATGGAGGTTTCGAGTGCCTATGTACTCTTGGCTACAAGCTACTGGAAGATAAAAAAACTTGTCATAGTACGCTTGCCCGTGTTCCTTCATTCCATTTCCTTAAATTCAAATTTTGAAATTGAACAACCGAGTACTTCGTACTGCGTCTTCTATTTCAAATTATCAAGTTATGATATAGCAACTATTCATAGGTCTACTTTGTTTTATATCTTTCGCGTGTTTCTAATTTTACTATAGAATTTGCATACTTCGCAAGTTTGAGATATTATAGCTTATAAACAAATAGTACTTGTAATTAAGTAAATAAAATTTCAAAAAAGTATATTTAAATTGTGTAAATTTGAAGTATTTTTTACGACAAATTAGGAAACAGTTACAATGGGTAAGATTGTTTAATTTCAATTTCTCTTGTATATACGGCAATAACTGTCTTTGAAAAAACTACTAGATAATGTTGTCTTAGTAAAACTACTGGGTAATCTTGAAGTCTGGCAGAGGCTGAGTTCGAACCAGGTTCCCAACGCAATTGATTCTAAATGATCTTAAAACTATTTATCTTTGAAGATTGAAATAACGCGATGCAACCAACACAACGTACAATACAATTTTTCAGAAATTTCTAATGTACAAGCAGCAATGACTTCTTCCACCAACAACAACATCAGCAGCAACAACATCAACAACAACAACATCAACAACAACAACATCAACAACAACATCAACAACAACAACATCAACAACAACAACATCAACAACATCAACAACAACATTGGTGATTACATCAACAGAGACAACAGCATTATTTACAGAAAAGGTAACAAAAAATACAACAATGACGACAACAATAATAATAATAACAATAATTACAACAATTACAACAACCTCATGAACAACAAAAACAACATGAACTCAGTAAAAGTAGACTACGATTACAATGAAGTCATTCTGAACAACAATTACAACAACAACAACAATAATAATAACAACAGCAATAAAATCAGAAACAGAGAGGTCGACAAGTTACGTCATCACAGACGAAAATATAAGTTTAACTCCCACAATGACGTCAGCGGTGATGTTTTTAGCAACAATGACATCAATAATAATGACAACAGAAATACGTACAACATTAACAACAACAACATCGTTAAAGACAGCGGGAATGACATACGTAGATTGAATGAAAACATGAAAAACAACAACAACAACAACGATTTCAACTACGACTACGACTATAAACTGAAGGACACTACCGTCTACAAGTGGTTGCCACATCTTCCACGGCAGTTTCCGTCACAGTCGTTACTACCACCACCACCATCATCATCATCAACGTCTTCATTATCATCATCGTCATTGTCATCATCTCAATTCCTACCACCATTCCAATCCTCATCATTTTCACCATCTTCACCATCATTATCATTATCATCATCACCATCTTCACCATCATCATCATTATCATCATCACCATCATCATCATCATCATCATCCTTTCAAAAAAATCCTCAACCAAAAATGAACAGCCCAAATATTATTGACGACGACGATAAGAAAAATAATCATCGTAATGATCTTGTCTTTTACGATGGTAATAAAAATAACAACAACAACAACAACAACAACAACGACAACAACAATGATACCAATAATAATAATAATAACGATGATGATAATGATGACGATGACGACGACGACATCATCATCAACATATCGAACCAAAAAAGCGGTAAATTTGATATGTACATTTCAATATATTTCGAAATACATACTATAAAATATTATTATTATTATTACTACTATTAAGAATATTAAAAATAATATTCATTATTTATTTTTGCCAATGAAACAGCTATCAAGAAAACAGAATTTGGAAGTTAGTGTGTGTGTGTGTGTGTGTTTGTATGTGTATGTGGTGTGTGTGTATGTGTTTGTTTGTGTATGTAGTGTGTGTGTGTGTGTAAATGTTTGTTTGTGTATGTGGTGTGTGTGCCTGTGTATGTGTTTGTGTGTGTATATGAAGACGAACGAAGTTGACGAGTTGATGAACGACGCGATATAAGTTGGTGAAGGTATGATGGCTGGGATGTATTAAGTAACTTGTACGTGAGGACGGCGAGTTTAAATATAATGCCTGGTAACCAATGTAGTTGAATGAGTTGAATTTATCTCCCAGCAGTCTGGGAGATAAATTACTGATATTTAGAACAACTTTTGCAACTCTATTTTGAGCACTTTGAAGTAAAGTTAAAAGGTAGGAAGGAAGACCGTATAGAAGAAAATTACAATAATCTAAACGTGATGGTACATGACATCGAGCCAGAGAAATTTACGAATATGACGAATAGTCCACGTATAATTGTTACAAGATTTGATCAAAGCTAAGACATGAGAATTAAAAGATAGAAAAGAGTCAAAAGTAAAGCTTAAAAATTTAAGTTTAGAGGTTGAGGAGTGAGAAGAATCAGCAAAGAGAACGTGCAATGGGGGCGAACATTTAATAAGCTGTTGCAAAGTACCAAGAAACATTTCTTCAGATTTGTGGTGATTTAGCTGAAAAAAGTTTGATAAATGCCAATAGTTAATGACCATAGTACATGCATTTAAGTTATCGGACTGAGATATATGATTAGAAGTGAGAATTTTAGCTGTTATACATGTGTCGTCAGCGTATTGATGAAAGAATAAGCCAACAGGGGAGGTGTAAGAAGGGAAAAAAAATGGGACCAAGGACAGATCCTTGAGGAACTCCAGTAGATGAGGGGAAGCTAGAAGAAGAATGGGGACCAAGTTTTATATATTGAGAACGATTAGAAAGGTGAGACTGAAACCAGGATACGCGAGTTCACAATTTTTTCATAGTTTAAAAAAATTTCTTTTAAAAATTTATGAAATTTAAATTAAAGTATTATAATTATTTTTCTGCCAAAAATGTGTAAAAATGTTTGGAATATTATTTCCCATTTATATAGCGCTTTATCAAAAATTCAATATCTGAAATGCCTTCAATTTTTTATTGCTTTGTATAACTGATATATTCATTTGTTTTGAATCATTGTTAAAAAAAGTCATAAAGTAGATATCATAGATAAGGCTTTTGGGGAGAATAAAAAATAAGGACTTCATAAATATTCTAATAATAGCAATAATGATGATGATAATGATGGAGGTGATGATGATGATGATGATATGATGACGAAGTGATGATGATGACGACGAAAACGATGATGATGATGATAAAAATAATAATAAGAATAATAATAATAATGATGATGATCAAATTCTTGCGGTGATGTAATTCTAGCGTGATTAATTACATAACTCTCAAGGTGGTGAAAAAATTAATTTTTTTAAATATATTTTTAATAAAAATATTGCTCCTATTGGCATTTTCCTTTTTCCAGTTCAGACGAAGCTGTAAAAAATTATTTTTTCAAAATATTTATTTTTTTCTTCTAAAACTAGTGTTAGAATAGATAAGAGTTGAACTCTGTACGTGTTTGTGTAAGTTTGTATATGCTTGTAAAAGTTTGTATATCTTTGTATAAGTTCGTATGTATTTGTATAAATTTGTATATGTTTGTATGAGTTTGTATATTTTTGTATAAGTTCGTATGTGGGTTGTATGTATGTTTTTTTATATGCTTATATGTAATTATGTATGTTTTTGTGTTTATGCGTTTGAAAGTGTTTGTATATTTTTATATTTTCTTTATGTTTATATGTCTGTATGTGATTGTATACGTTTGCCCCTATCTGTTTGTTTTTGTATATCTGTGTATGTTTGCATATTGGGGCATATTTGCATATGTTAGCATGTGTTTCCAAAAATTTTATAGAGATAAAAATTTTAAATTTTAATAAAATTTAGAAAAATTTAAATTTGAAGTGACTGAAAAATTAATAAATAAAAATTTTCACAGTCCCGGAGATCGATTTCAATGATGTAACCATTGGTGAGTTTGCTTCTTTGTATGTCTCTGATTGTTTGTTTGCACGTTAAAGATGTTATCTTATTACAAATTTTTTTTAATTTTCCCAAAATTTCCACCATAGGATTAATTTAGAAATTTGTTTCAGAAATAAATAAATAAGTAGTACTACAACAACTATTACTGTTACTGCTGCTGCTACTACTACTGCTGTTGTTGCTGCTGCTGCTACTACTACCACTACTACTGCTACTACTACTACTACTACTACGATTACTACCAATGTTATTTTTTACGTTACTGTGATAACTATTACTTTAGTTTTAACATTTCAAATAGTTCATGAAGCACAGTTGTAATGTTGGTTTTTAAACTACAAACTACCAAAGAATGCCCCGTGGGTACGTTCGGTCTTAGATGCCGCCTCAACTGTGATGCCTGTGCAAATGGCGGGGAATGCAACAAAGAGATGAATGCATGCGAATGTTCGGAAGGATGGGCTGGTGTCCTTTGTGCTTCGCCCTGTCCTGAGGTTGGTTGGTCGGTTGGTTAGTTGGTTGGTTGATTGGTTGTTTGGTTGGTTAATTATTTGGTTGGGGAGTTGGTTGGTTGGTTAGTTGACTGGTTGATTGGTTGTTTGGTTGGTTAATTATTTAGTTGGATGGTTAGCTGGTTGGTTGATTGATTGACTGGCTGATCGGTCGGTCGGTTGAAGAGATGCAGCATGATTTTTTTTAAATTGTCTGTTATTTTCCAATGTACGTGCATTGTTTGCTTTTGTGTTATTTCGTTGTTGTGCAACGAAAACACACCTCTGCAGTCAATTAAAAATTGCTGGTGGCTGCCGTGATAAGTGATATGTTGAATGATGCTCATGCATTTGTCAGCAGCTTCAAAAATCATATCATCTTGTCAAGAATAAATTAGCCGTTTCGTCTTTTGTTATTATTTATTATGTGATGAAAAGTGAACCAGACAGCAAATATTTTAGCGGCGAAACTTCCCTTCGTTCGTTACAGACATGTGACATTTCGTCAAGTAGGGATGTGACCTATATAAGAAGATGGTGGTGTCCGTTTTGTGTCTTTGCTGTTCATATTGACGTCAGCAAAAAACGTTCAAAAAACAATTAATGTTTCAAATTATTCAATAATTATACAATTTGGAGTGAACTTATCTGGTTGGTTGACTCTTTAGTGTCGCAACTTTTAAATTTTGCAGGGTTTCTACGGCAAGGGCTGCAATGAAGTTTGCAAATGCAAGAACGAAGGAAAGTGTGACCACGTGACCGGAAGTTGTACGTGCCCTCTGGGGGTCAGTGGAGAGTTTTGTAGGGATGGCTGCCCTGCTGGTCAGTTGGTTTTTTTTTAATTTGGTTTGTATCTAATCTCTGAAATGAAAGACTGACAGTTGTGATTAAGAGGCTTGGAAACAAGAATAAACTTTTATAATTTTTTAAAAATTATTACATAAATATTCAATTGTAAAAATAAACCGTACAAAACATAAAAAAAAAATAAATTAAAATAATTTTTCACCCACCAACACACCACACCACCGACAACAAACGTCAGGTTTTTACGGCGAGGATTGCAAACGCCGATGCCAGCAATGTTGGAGCGGCAGGTGCCACAAGCGACACGGCTTCTGCATCTGTCCCCCCGGCTTCTTTAGCCACAACTGCCAACTGACCTGTCCAGCTTGGAGCTACGGTAGCAACTGCCTCAAAGGATGTCGTTGCGTAATGGAAAATTCCCTGGCATGTGACAAGACGGTTGGTTTTTGTTTGTGGAGTTTTATGGGTATTTTTTTCTTTTTTTTATTGGTTTTTCAAAGTTTTTTTAATTTTATTAGTCTAGTTTTTAATAAGCATTTTATGGGTATTTTTTGAATTTTTTAATTTAATTAAAATATCTAAATGAAGTGTCACAAAAATTATCTTTCGTTCTCTAGCAAATGAAAAAGTTTTTAGATATAAATCAGAACCACGTCGCATCACATGCCACTTCGTTCAAGAAACATTCTTCCTATTAAATTAAACTACATAAAAAAAAACAAGAAAATAATTTTATGTAAAAAAAAATAATTTTCAAACTCAACATAAAAATAAAAAGAATGGTAGCTGCCAGTGCAAGCCGGGCTACCGTGGAGACATGTGCCAAGATGTATGTGAGGATGGAACGTGGGGGGAAGGTTGTGCCTTCAAGTGCTCATGCGCATCATTGTCATCACTGACGTCATCATCTTGTGATCACGTGACAGGCCAGTGTGCCGCAAAATGTCCGGCCGGCTGGCAGGGAGAGAACTGTGACATACGTTGGTGGTTTTTTAAATATTTTTGTTTTTATTAAATGGCAACAATATTTTTTTAAATAAAAGTAAGTAAATTAGTATGGTTATAATCAAATGAACTTCCTCCAGCATGTTCTTCCGGATACTACGGACTGGAATGCCGAGAGGTGTGTGCCTGTTCAGGAAGTCCGTGCGACATTCAAACGGGAGCGTGCCACTGCATGCCCGGAAGGATCGGGATAACTTGCGAACAAGGTTTTCCAAGATTTGGAAGTCATACGTACCTGTATATATATATATATATATTTACAATATTCTATAAATTCTACCGAATGTTTATTGAACATTCGGTAGAATTTATAGAATATTGTAAAAATTATGGTCTATTACCAACATATATATATATATATATATATATATTGTATGGAATGGTTTGCCACGGTCGTTGAGGGTGTGCGATTCAGGAATTGAAAACTTTAGGAAGAATTTGAAGACTCATTTATTTAACCAATAACTGTGAACTGATTTATTTGTGGTTTATTTTATCTACTTTTTCAGCTATTTCTGTTAATTATAGGATAGCGCTTTTGAAAAATTAACACTTTTATTTTTAATAAGCGCTTCATAAATTTTAATGATAATAATATATATATATATACATATATATATATAGCCCTTCATATATATATATATATATATAAATTGCACATTATGTTAATTTTGACATGAATTATAAATTTACTTAAAAATTGTGTTAGAATGAACAATTTGTGAACGCTGGCCTGCGACACAAGAATTTTGTTTTCTTTTAGCTTTGGTCTCCTAATCATTACCTAATTATTATTAATTTGGATTGATTGAATAAAATTTGATTTTATATATATATATACATATATATATATATATATATATATATGGATATCTCTAAGCCCGATGTTGTAGTTGTATATGTGTGAATTAAGTGGAATTATATGGTTCATTGAAGAAATAGATGTAGTGATCACTGTGACAATACAACAAACGAACAAAAATATAATTTCAACAGACTGTCCGCCAAACCATTGGGGTGTCGGTTGTTCGAAGATGTGCGAATGTGAGAACGAAGCCCTGTGTGACGTCATCAGTGGTCACTGCGTTTGCCCCGCTGGCTATTTCGGTCGGCGATGTGAGGAAGGTGAGGGTTTCTGTCATATTTCGATAGTACGATAGCCCTTAAATACTTTAAAACTGATCGGTCATCATTATAAAAGTCTGCCCACATGGAACGTACGGAATGAACTGTGAAAGAGAATGCGAGTGCATGAACGGTGCCACATGCAACCACGTCACGGGCCAGTGCACATGCCCGCTCGCATGGACTGGCCAGTTATGTGACAGGCGTTAGTTTCTTTCTATCTGAGACTATTTTTTGATAAATTTTTTGAAATTATTTGTTTTAAATGTTTTCAAAATTTCTAAACCTTTACAAAGTAACTAGATGGAGTCTAGTATACTTGTCACTAGCTTAAGCATTATGTAATTCACATCACATCAAACGACATCACATTAAACAACATCGCATTCCATCCCATACATCTAGCATGTCCGCCAGGGAAGCACGGAATGAACTGCATGCATCAGTGCACATGTAAGAACAGTGCCGAATGCGATGCTGTCACTGGAAAGTGTTTGTGTACGTCTGGTTTCAGTGGGGAGGATTGCTCTGAAAGTAAGATTTTACAGAATTACAAAATGTAGACGCGTTGAATGTTTGTCCTAACAAATGCAAATATTTAAAAAAACCATTTTTTAGTTCTTATTTCAAAAATTTAACTCTTTCATTCACCCGCTCATTCATCTTTCTCTCCATTTAATTCACCCACCCACCATTTTTTATCAATACTTCAATTCACTTTCCACAAAAATCCAGAATGCCCTCAGGGGACCTACGGTCAGGGCTGCCAGCATCAATGCACGTGCACCAACTCTGCCACATGTGACCACATATCAGGGACCTGCCTCTGCATCGCGGGCTGGCACGGTCTGCACTGCGAAAAAAAATGCCCCGAGGGTTTTTACGGTGACGAGTGCCAAAAAGTCTGTAATTGCCGACTCGGGCTTTGCCATCACGTGACTGGGGATTGTAAATTTGGTGGTGGTGGTGTTAGTGGTGGTGGTGGTGATGTCAGTCAAAGTTACGAAGCGAAATCCGCTAGAGGAACTAATAATGTTAGAGATCGAATTCATACGAATGTTGTTTCAGAAGTCGCAAGTACGATGTCTACTACTTCTACAGATACAACGACTACTACTAAGGCTACTACTACTACTACTACTACTACTACTACTACTACTACTACTACTACTAACCCTACAACAACAACAACAACAACATCAACGACAATTGCAATCATTTCCGTCAATGATACATTACAACGAAACATTTCCAGCGACAATAACACTCACGATGACATCATTACGGATGATGATGCAATCGATGACGATGATGTGGTTAGTGATAAGAAAAATGATGATGATGACGATAACAAAGTTGATACTACCGATGATAAAAGCGATAATGAAACAGTTAACAACGAAGCAAGCCCTGAAGATGATAATAATGCTGATAACGTTAACGACACTGATGATAATAATAACACAGATGATAATGATAATGATATAAATGATACTAATGATATCAATGATACTAATGATATCAATGATACCGATGATAATGGTGATGAAGAAGAAGAGGAAGAAGAGGAAGAGAGTAACATTGAACATCAAACTGACGGTGAAACTTTAAAAAACTTATCTTCAAACACACACACACTTCACACAAACACACAACACACACACAAACACACACACACAACACATAAACAACACAAACAACTTTCACACAGACGGATACACTTGCTATGGGGGCTGGACAGGATCCTTGTGTAAAGTGGAATGTCCCAAAGGATATCATTCCTCGTCCTGTCAGGGAATTTGCGACTGCAAAAATGGCGGGTTTTGCGATTCGGAAAACGGAAAATGTCGCTGTAGAAGTGGCTACCATGGCGACAAGTGTCAATACCGTAAGTAGGGTATTTTGCTTTAGGTATTTTAAATGGTGCGTGTTGTATTTTAGCGTATTTCTTTGGGTAATTTTGTATTTTGGATGGAGTAATTTGAATAGTGAGGTTTTGCGAGTTTCTGAAGAGTTAGCCATGCAACGATCAAGTGCTGTGAATTAGTTCTAATTTGCGTGCATGCATATGCAAACAGAAATCTTTCATAACTATAATAATTGTTTCAATGTCTGCTCTCAGATAAGGCAAAAATTAAAATTTGTACGTAAACCTCTGAGTAAATAAAAAAAACACCTAAATCCACCTCTGCAGAATGTCCCCAAGGATTTTATGGAAGGAAATGTGATGGCAAATGCAAATGCGTCCAACCAGATGACGTCAACGGCAGCTCATCTACCATCTCCTCCAACAACAACAACAACAACAACAACAACTGTCATTTCATCACCGGAAAATGTTTTTGTCCGGCTGGCAAAACCGGACCAAGATGCCAGAATGACTGTCCGAGTGGGACGTACGGGATTGATTGTGTCCATAAGTGCGCCTGCGAGAATGAAGGTGTATGCGACGTTGCGACGGGCGCCTGCGCGTGCTCTGCCGGATACACCACAGCCACCTGTGGCCAGCGTATGTGCATGCATTCTCTTGTTTTTTAAACTTTTTAAAAAATGTACCTGCTTCTCGCCTACGTAATGTATGTTCTGTGATAGGAGATTGAAGATGACAACGAACTGATTAAATGGAGAATGAGATGATAAAAGTTTAACACCTCAGCGTCCATATTCATTCTCAGGCTGTCCTCACGGAAGGTTTGGCGCCAACTGCATGAACGTCTGCATCTGCCAGAACAACTCAACTTGCCATCACGTGACTGGTCAGTGTACGTGCCAACATGGCTACTACGGCGATCTCTGTCAGAATGGTGAGTGGTTTCGGAGTTGTGATGGTTGTTTATTTTTACAACATTTGTACAAAAGTTATACAAAAATGTGTACATGTACAGTGTGCGAAGAAAACACGTACGGTCTGAACTGCGAGTCGAAATGCACATGTGGGAGGGGCAAGTGTGATCATGTGACCGGAAAATGTACATGTCCTCCAGGCTACAGTGGTGACCAGTGTATTGAACGTTAGTTGAGCTGGTTGATCGTGTAATGTTTGATTGGCTGGTTGGTTGATCGATTGATTGGTTGGTTGGCTGGTTGGTTAGCTGGCTTGTTAGTTGGCTGGTAGGTTGGCTAGTTGGTTGGTTGGTCGGTTAGTAGATCTATTGATTGGTTAGTTGGCTGATTGATGAATTAGCCGGTTTTAAGCAATGTAATCAATGTAATAATTGTTATTTTATATCATTATCGCAACAACGTCATTGTCATCATCAATCACATTCATCTCTTTAATTAAAACAATTTGATTTGCACGCAGCATGTAAGCCAGGGACATATGGACCTGGTTGTGGCTTCCAATGCACCTGTCCAACAAATAGATGCCACACAACAACCGGTTTGTTTCTATTTGGTGATTCCATTAATAATAATATTAATAATAATGGTAATAATGGGAACATCCTTTTATTTTCTAACTCCAAATACCAAATATTAATAATGAAATAATTATAAAATCTTATTTAATCTAAAATGCTCGTCACCGCAAATGAGTACATTTTAGAGGGGCTGGTTTAATTGTTCAATTGGGGTTCAATCATTTTTATTATTTTGGCGTTATCAATCAAATTTTATGGTAAACATAGAGTTGCAATAAAGTTAATAAAATACAATAATATATTTTATACAGTCTGAACCTTGTCTCTATATTGCTCGACATAGTAATAATAATAATAATAACAATAATAATACTAATAAGTTTTTTGTTGACAGGAGTTTGCATATGTGACAATGGCTTGGTTGGTTCTAAATGTGACAAACGTTAGTTGAGTTGTTGATGTTGTTGTTGATGATGATGTCGTTGTTGTTGTTGTTGTTGATGATACCGTTGATGTAGTTGATACTGTTTGTTGAATGTTTCTGTGTTTTGTTGGTGTTGTTGATGCTGTTTGTTGAATGTTTCTATGTGTTGTTGATGTTATCTGTTGACGATTCTGCTGTCGTGTAAATGTCATCTGAGGCATTTTCAAGTTTTTTGCAGTTATTCAGCTATATTTTGATAATTAATTTGACAATATTTAAAGGCGAAAATTTAACTTCGAAATTTTTGAAATTTTGTATAGATCTTTCCTAAGCTCAATAAGAAATCATAAAGATGTGGTATCGGGATGAAGATGATGGTGATGATGAAGAAGATGACGACGACGATGATGTTGTTATGATGAGGATGATGATGTTGTTAATGTGAGTAAAGACGCCAATACTGTCTTAGTATTATGTTTGTTATTATCATCATCACTTTTATTTTATAGCCAGCTACTAATATTTATTTAAAATAATTTAAGTTTTAATCGTTCATTCATTCATTCAATCATTCATTCATTCATTCAATCATTCATTCATTCATTCATTTTCATTCATTCATTCATTTTCATTCATTCATTCATTTTGTTTCGCTTGTTCATTTATTCACTCACCCACTAGCCTAATTATTTATTTTAACAGCATTTTTTTAACACGCCTGTATATTTAGCAAAAAAATAATCCCATCAACTCTTTCTTTCTCTCTCTCTCTCTTTCTCTCTCATTCTCTCTCTCTCATCCTCTTTCTCTCTTTTTCTCTTTCTCTATCTATCTATCTCTATATCTCTATTATTTAACATCAATCATTATCGTCGCCATCTTCATCATACAATAAACCTGCATCAACTTTTAAAAACTCAACAAATCATCATCATCACTATAACTAATCTACTGTTACACACGCGCACACGCAGACGCGCAAACACACACACACAGCCATTTGTGTCTTGCTCATAACCCTTACAATTATAATTACACATATTTAATTATATTATATTTTTATATTCTATTTCATTTCAGCTTCATTTAAGTGCCTTATTTTAATTTTGTCTTAATTTTTCAAACTCTGCTTTCAAGCTTTTAACCGAAGAGGCATTTATCTTTTAAAAAATATATTGAATTATTTAAATTAATTTTTAATTTAATTGATTTAAAATTTGATAACTATTATTAATTTTTACTAATTAAATAATAAGTTTTGTCAATTTTAATATTATTTTTTATCTTATGCGAAGAGAAATGTTTTAGGTTTGTTAGACGTAAAACCGTTGTCGAAATAATTGTTTTCCAATTACGTTTATCAGTATAGAATCTCAAATTACAATTAATTAATTAGTCAATTTTTAATTAATTAATTGGTTAAATTTTTAATTAATTGGTATACCGCGACTTAAATACGTTTAAAATTACTTTCAATTTGACACGCCCACATGAATTGTGGCCAGAACATAAAGATTAATTAATTAATTATATTAATTAATTAATTAATTAATTAATTAATATAATTAATAAACTACTTTTACTTTGCTTTTCTCACAACTGTTCGTCATCATCATCTTCGTCGTCATCGTCATCATCAATCTCATCATTTCATTATCTTTAATATAACCGTTGTTATTATCATCAAAATTTATTATTATTATGTCAAATAATTTATTATAAAATTATTGAGATGTAATAATTAACGACCAATAGGACTAGATATGCTAGAGATTTGTTTTAACCATCACCATTATCACACCATCATCATCATCATCATTATTATTGTTATTGTTTTTACTATGATTATTATCATTTCATTATCGTCATTACAGATGATATATCGAAATGAAAATCGTCTTTAGTTTATTTTCAAACTTTGACAAACAAACACGCACACACACACACACACACGCGCGCACATACACGCCTACAGGCACATACACACACGCACACACACAGAGACACACATACTGATGATGATGTTTTTATTTAATTATCATTGACACCACTTTTATACCAGCTACTGGGTAGTGTGCTATGTTTGACAGAAAAAAAATAAAAATAAAAAAAAGAAGAAAAAAAAAATCCCTAACGTCATTTTTTTGAATGAATAAATAAATAAACGATGAAAAAGAATTTATTAATTGTACCGACATTATCATCATCATCTTCATCATCCTCATCATGGTGATATCACCATCCAACGTGTATATCATCACCTATCATCGTATATCATCAGCCCATATCATTTCTATCAAGATCATTAGTTATAAACCTAATCATCGTCATAATCATTTTTACTATCATCATCATCACTCCTATCACTACTATCATTATCATTACTAAATCAGCCATCAGTGTCCTAATCAAATACTTCATCATAATCGCAATCGTCATTCAGTCAGATACAATCTACCTAAGATGATTGTAGCTTGTTTTTTTTCATTCAGTTCATTTTTTGCCTGTGAAATAAATACAAAAGTATAATTCATAATATAATTAATAATATAATTAATAATGAAATTAATAATATAATTAGTAATATAATTAATAATATAATAAATGACAAATAAAGATGAATAAATGATGAAATATAATACTTTTCAAGACATTCATCTTACAAAAAAAATAAAACCAAATTTGTGTTTCAAATATAAAAGTTCTAAATATAATAAGAGTGTACCCATTGTAAGCCATTTTGGAACAGCTGTCGACTTTGAAGCAGCTGAAGCTGCTGACATCGAAGCAGCTGTGCCAACAGCTGTGCTTGCAGCTGTGTCAGCAGATCTTTGGTTAGCAGCTTTGTTGCTAGTGGTAGTATCACTGACGTCCATGGAGGAAGATGCTGAAGAAACTTCAGATAGGCTGGTCGGTTTGTTTGTTCATTCATTCATTTATTCATTCATTCATTCATTCGTTCGTTCATTCATTCGTTCGTTCGTTCGTTCATTCGTTCGTTCATTCATTCATTCATTCGTTCTTTCATTCATTCATTCATTCAATCACTCATTCATTCGTCCATACTAACAATTTATGAACGACAGCTTCTACGCTCAACCTAGACGAGATGTTACTTGCAAGAACCTCTTCCATTATCAAACCATCTATAACAAAAAAATCCTTATTTATTTGTAAATAAATAAATGAAATACAATCTGTCGAGACAATTGTTTTCAAGATTTTAACAGGGTATTAGATTTAGAGATAATAATAGCGGCAGGGCAGAGTAGTGGTAAGGTCTCTGTCTAATGATCTGCAGCGACCGCGTTCGAATGCAAATGAGGATAAAATAAAAATATCGATTATTACGAAAGGTAATTATCATATTATAATTAATGTGATGATGAAATATGAATTTAAACTGTAATATATGATAAAATACGATTTTGGGATGAAGAAACATGAAAAAATGTCACCTGATTTTGTGCTTGAGTAAGTAAGATAAACTCTCGTCATGGGTACCATGCCACTCTGTTTATTGTTATTGATGTTGTTGTTGTTGTTGATGTGATGTTAAAGAAATTTTAATGAGATGTTAAGGTGATGAAATGTTAATGAGGTGTTAATGAGATGTTAATGAGATGTTAATATGATGATAATGTGAAGTTAATGAGATGTTGATTTGATGGTGATGTTGTTTTTACAGTTTTGTTGTTGCTTTTAGCTTTGCAGTTGTAAAAAAAGAATCAAAATTTCAAAATTGATATGAGAGAGAGAGAGAGAGAGAAAGAGAGAAACAGATAGAGAGAGAGCGAAAGAGAGAGAGATGGAGCAGATATATCAGATAGATATCATATATCATCATCAGGCTAACTTCGAGTAGAGTTGCCGTCATGTCATTTAACGTCTGCTTCGGTGGAGTAGTGTCTAGTGATAGTGATGATAATTGTGATGACGACGACGACGATGATGATGAAGATGCTGGTGATGATGATAGTGAGGAAGATGAAGAAGAGGAGGAAGAAAAGGATGATGACGATGAAGATTACGGCGAAAAAGAAGATGATGACGATGTTGATTAGCGATTGAAAAAGGAAATTTGGAAAGAAAAATTTTCAGTAACTAACAGAGTTCGAAGTCCAGCCTCTTGTCTACTAATAACTCTCGGACAAACTTGTACAATGCATGGACTGTAAGTGTGTGTGTGTGTGTGTGTGTGTGTGTGTGTGTGTGTGTGTGTGTGTGTGTGTGTGTGTTATCATTATCATCATTAATATCAATATCATTATCAGCATCATCGTCGTCGTCGTCATCATAACCTGTTTCTCTTGGTCTGAATACTGCTTGAGCTACATGTCTGTCTGGGAACTGAATTCTAATGATAACCCTGCTGTATCTAATGAATGAATGAATGAGTGAGTGAGTGAGTGAGTGAGTGAGTGAGTGAGTGAGTGAGTGAGTGAGTGAGTGAGTGAGTGAGTGAGTGAGTGAGTGAGTGATAAATGAACGGATAAACGAATTAGTAGCTGGTTAAATCGATGAATATACACTCGTGAGAGGAATGAATGAGGAATCAAGAAATGAATGAATGGATTGATCAATCATTAATTTATTCACTCGTCCCGCACATATAAACAAAGAGAGAGAGACAAAGAGAGAAAAAAAAAAGAAGGGAGAAAGAGAGAAAGAGAGAGAGAGAGAGAGAGAGAGAGAAAGAGAGAGACATACTTGGCCATCTTCATTTCCATTTCCATTTTTCTCATTGCTTGCGTCATCAGCGGTTGATCCGTCAGATGTTGACTGGTCGTAAGTTATTTCGAATGAATGAATGAACGAACGAACGAATGAATGAAAAAATGAATGAATGAAAAAATGAATGAGTTAACGAATGAACAAACAAACTAATGAATGAACAAGCGAACACGAAGGAAAAAATTGAAAAAAATTAATGAATGGCCGAAAAATTTTGAAAAAAAAATTTCTGAAAGAAAGAAGTGAAATAACAAAACGATAACAACAACAACAACAACAACAATAATAATAATAACCAACACATTTTTATGCAGATCCCTTTGTAAAACTTGCAGATCATTCTCCGTTACGTCGAAGAAATTGTCAGGAACCTCTGTCCAAAGTGGGGAAAAAAAACTACCATCACCAATGAACGACATACACACACCTCACATAAACTTATGCAAACTTCATTCCCTCTAAATAATAATAATTATACAATTGGACGATAATGACAATTATAAACAAAAATAATAATAAATAATAATAATAAATAATAATGAATAATAATAATTAATTAATAATAATAATAATAACCGGT